TGTAAATTTTTAAGTGCTGACCCAAACTTTTTCCTAGCAGTGGCATTAGGCAATAAGCTTACTTTTTACTTTCTACTGTAAGACTCACAAAGAAGATAGAGGTAGCACTATGTAAATACCAAGTCATGTCGAAACCATACACAACTTCTCTACAAGCACACACTTCGTTCTCACTCTTTCTTTATCGGCTTTTAAAAGATTACTGCTGGATACCCGCACTATGCTCCTGAAGCCACTCTGTTGATAGCAAACGATTCTAGATACATCTTTGTCCACGTGAGTGCATGTTCTTGCAATAAATGAACCACTCACGTCCCGATAGGGTATTCATCAGTCATACCTATGGTCAAGCCAAAGAGTATGGTGGGTTAGGCTAATGACAATATTTTTTAAGTTATGGTAAATAACTTATCACTTATCAACAATTAAAATTACTTAATACCGCATACCGCGCGCAACCAGGCTAGACGTCACAACTATGTAACGTTGTTAGCATGAATTATTCATTGTGCTAGTAAGACTCGATTTTAGGTATATAAAAGTTGATTACGTGAATTTTACAAGAAAAACTATTGTAGACACGAAATTAAAGTGTTAAAAACAGTGTTTGAGTGTAATAAAAAGTAAAATTTGTTTCCTTTCAATTTAGAGAGTTGTCTCGTTGTATACTAATATTTTAATGTACCTTACATTCACTTTGTAATTAAAGAATACGTCCTAGAAATAGATTACATATTTCACCATCTGCGTAGTAATGAACGCAGCGTATTGGTTACGTAGTGGAATACACGAGTAACGAAATCTCGGAGAACTCGGTTCGATCCCTACCGGAGTAATACTTTTTTCAATTGTTAGTCATTGAAAAATATTCATATTTTATATTATAATGGATTCAAATAGTAACTCGAAAGGCAAATCTGCAGGTTGTCCAAATATAATCAAAAGTCGTGAATATTTGAAATGCGCGAATTGTAAGTCTCTGTTACGATTTATTGTGCGCAAAAGTGTCTGCAAAACGATTTGAACTTATGAACAGAGACAATAAAAAGTCATGGAAATGTCATGGTTATCGCAATAAACAACCAAAATTTGATAACACCAACACACCAGTGCGTACGCAACATAGTAACATAGTTTCCGAAATATCGGATACCTACGAGAATGTTGAGGATAATCATGACTACAATAAAGTCACTATGCGGACAGCCCAAAAATTTACTATTGATAACTTAGATTCAGATACTATGTTAAACTATCTATATATACGATATAATATGTTAAAAAATCATTAAGGAGGAAATAACGGCTGCTCTAAAATCGGTATTCCAAGTGCAAGTATCGGAACAGTTGGAGATAATGAAACAGCAAATTGCAACTTTCCACGAGTCGATGACATTTTTTATGAAAAGTTCGAAGAATTGAAAAGAAACTTGCAGAAAGATCAATTACTATAAAAAACATTGAAGTTGATGATGAGAAATTAAAGACTTCTGTTCAGAGTATAAGGAATAATTTAAACGTAATGAAACAATTTGTTAGATCATCTAACATCGAAATACAATGACTACCAGAAAATAGGAGGAAAACATACTAAATACCGTTGTTCAGATAGGAAAAGTCATAAATTGTAATATTAACGAAACCGATATCTCGCACTGTATGAGAATTTCGAAACAAAATCCTCAAAGCACCAGGCCAAGATCAGTTCTTGTAAGATTTAATAACCAGCGTATACGTGACTCCTTCATCGCCAGTGCAAGTAAATATAACAAAGAAAGTAAGAGTAAGCTCAACACCAGCCTCAATTGTACGTCCATATGTCACCAACAAACGACAGTATTACAACAGCGGTTACCAGCTTAAATAATGATCTAAAATTAATAGAGCAGTGGTCAAAGTCTCATGGCTTACTTCTGAATCCTAAAAAAAGTATATGTATAATTATGGGTACACGTCATCAGGTTGCATCTATTAAAAAATTGATCCAACTATCGTGATCAATGACACAATTATTCCTAGAGATAATTGCATTCGTAACTTGGGCCTTAATATGGATGAAGGTTTAAAGTTTGTACAAAATTCGTTCTTTTCTCAAATCAAACATCCGGCTCCGTCTTTGCAATAGTCTTGTCTTGTCACATTTGCGTTATTGCGACTTGGTATATGGTCCTTGCCTCTCACAGACAGTTACACTAGAAAATTAAAATATGCTTGTTTCGTACACTCATTAAATAATTCGCAATGTCCTCATTATTTATATGAAAAATTATCTCTAAAATGTCAACTAACACGTTTGAGACGAAGGGGTAAACTAATATATATATATATATATATATATTAAATATATATATATATACTTCCGACTTATAAGCGTGTTAAAGCAAAAGGATGTTTCAAATATGCTGCCTCCAAAATTTGGAATAATACACCTCCTCCTTTGCAGGAGATCGTAAAAACAAACTTATTTAGAAAGAAATGCAAAGTATGGTTACTTGAACAACAAAAGTTGGAGTATATATAATTACAGACTTAATTCTTATAATAGTTCATGATTCATCTTGGATTTAAAAAAAATCTTTGGGCTAATACCATTGAGGATCGTTGAAGTTTCTGGTAGGCTCAGAGGCGATTGTCTCCTTTACCTAAATTTACATACAACTTATGAATAAATATTTTCGAATTCTTTAGTTATATTACGTCAATGCCAAAATAAGGTTAAGATACTGTGAGATATTTTTAAAATAGTCGGCTGTGGCAGAATACCAGCGGTGACCTAAAATCACCACATAGATGATTCACAGGCCAGTTTGTCTCATTACTTTTATGTTACCTAAGTGTGATTGTAATTAATTATGGGGTATCTATATAGTTTTCTCATCTGGTTGGGTTCCATAAATTTATAATTACGAACGAAAGTGATAAATAAAAATAATTACAAAATTAAAATACATAAATAACAATAAAATAAAAAGAATATATAAAAATACATACATAAATAAAAGCCCAACCAGATGGAAGCCCTCGGCAGGGGAGACCAAACGGCCGACGGTTAGGGCGAAAGGGAAAGAAACCGGCGGACAATGCGGGCGGTATCGAGGAGCACTGCCTTCTGCATTTGAGCCCGGAGCAGTCCGTTACGGAGTCCCAGTCGTCTCAGATGACCCGAGAGGCTAACTGGGATTAGCCCGTTTGCAGAAACGACTACAGTTATAATTTCGGTCGACAGCCCACCCCACATGTCGGTCACCTCGTGAGCCAGGTCCAGATATTTTGTTCGCTTATCTGTTTCGGCTTTCACGAGGTTCTAGTCATACGGAATGGTAATATCGACCAAAAATATCCTTGACTGTGCCCGGTCCATCAGCACAATATCAGGCTTATTCGTAAGAATAGTCCTGTCTGTGATGATGGCCCGGTCTCAGTAGAGCCTAGCGCGGTCATTTTTCTGCACGGCTTCCGGCAAATACTTGTAATACGGCAGTTTCCGGTCCACGAGACCGTATTTCAGAGCGAGCTCCTGGTGTAGAATTTTGGCTACTAGGTTATGCCTGTGCAAGTACTCAGAGTTAGAAAGCGCCGAACAACCGGAGATGACATGCCTAAGTGACTCACCGGGATGGTGACAAGCCCGACATATGTCAACGGTGCCATCCTTTAGGATGTATCTCCGATAGTTGTTGGTCTTAATAATCTGATCCTGTATCGCACAGACAAAATCCTCGGTTTCCCCGAAGAGGTCACCGAAACGTAGCTAGTTGAGGGAGGCGACTGTATCTACAAAGAGCTCATGTAGAGCCCTGTAGTACCTCCGGTGGAGCTCCTTCTCCTTCCATGCGGTCTCTCGGTCGGAAATGCTAAGCACTGCTGGGCCCTGCCATTGCTCTTTAGCTAAGGATAGAGGGGTAAGCCCTTTATCACTAGAAATGACGTCATTATAGAATGGATCATCCAATCCCGTCAGGAAGTAATGACGGAGGCTGCACACTTCGCGATTATGCATGGTGAGCGCGCTCAGAAAGCCACGCCCACCATGCTTTCGCGGCAAGTACAACCTCATTACCGACGATCTCGGATGATGCATCCTATGGGACGTCATGATAGTGCGGACTTTTCTATCCAGGGCGTTAAGTTCAGTCTGAGTCCACCTGAGTGTGCCAAAGGTATACATGAGGACAGGCATGACCCAACCGTTATATGCGTGTGTCTTATTCACACCGGACAAAAGGATGTTAAGCACTTTGTTTGGTCAAGCGTGCATAAAACACGTCGCAAACTAAATGTTTCATATCAGCCTCATCGACACCGATGTTCTGTGACATACCCAGTTATCTGTATGTTTCAGCCTCGGAAAGGGTCCTTAAGCTGACGGGTATAGATAATTCTATACCCTCAGAGTTAGCAACCCTTCCCCTTTCAATGGAATTGCTAAATTCACAAGTTATGTTTAGCAATTCCATAAGATGGGAGCGACTGGAGGCGAATAACTTGAGGACGTCCATATAGAAAAGGTGGGTTACTTTTGTACCTCCTTTCCGAAGCTGAAATCCCCTCCCGTAGCCGTCCAGTAAGGTACTGAGAGGGTTCAGAGAGAGGCAGAACCAGATTGGACTCAGACAATCGCCCTGGAAGATACCCCTTCTTATCCTTATGTGGTTCTCCGTAGTCATCATCCGCTCGCCAAGATAGCTAAGGATCGTACTCCACTGCTCCATACACTGCTCTAGGAAGTATCCAACTATACAGTCAATCTCGTACAGCTGGAGGACTCTCTTTAGCCATGTATGAGGCACCGAGTCGAATGCCTTTCAGCAGTATATCCAGGCTGCGGAGAAGTTCTGACGGTTGCGTTTCACCACTTTGTCAATGACCGCGTCAATGAGGAGTGGTTCCTTGGTTCCACGACCACCGCCCCGACATTCATTTTGAGCGGGTGACATCACATGATTTAGCTCCAGGTGATGAGGAAGAAAGGTTCAAGGTGGCAAGGCTCAAAATGGATGTCAGTGTCTTATATATGGTGGGTAGACACGTGATGGGGCGGATTTGCTCGGGTTTGTGGTATCCTGATCTTTAGGAATCAAGTGAGTGATCCCAGTAGTAAAGAGGCTCGGGAGCGACTTCTGATCGAGAGCCTCTTGAAACTGTCGGTCGAGCACAGCGTGACACACTACGAACCTCTTTAGCCAGTAATGATGCAGCCCGTCGAGCCCTGGACTTTTCCAGTTCGAGGCCCTACGAACCGCCTCATCCACGTCTTCCGGCGTTATAGTGACGGGGTCCATAGGCATAACATTCGCACTCTGGCTCGCCACAACTTCCATCCAAGCGCTTTCGCTGTGGTTTACGGGCTCTGACCACAGGCTACGCCAAAATGCGACAGTGTTAGCCTGATCCGGTCCTGGGCCCGCTGCACATACCACTGGTCGCTCCAATGATTTATGGAGCCTCTTCTGATCACTCTGGAAGAGATGATTCTGGTTAAACCGCCTTGACCTCTCGGTAAATCGCCGGATCCGCTTCCTCCAAGCAGCGATCTCTTGCTTCAGGTCGTCTACGCGCTCCGTTAGTTTCTGCGTGATATCCGGCTTGGACAAACTGATATTTGTCCCAGCAAACGCCATTCTAACGGTGCGCACAACCCTCGGTCTATTATTACCCGACCTGAAGCTTGTCAGTCTGCCGATAAAGGCCCTTGCCTTTGCGATACGTCCCTCAATTCTTTTTCTCCAGGCTGGGATGGCGCTACTTTGTTTAGTAGCGCGTCCAGCCATGGGAAGTTTGGCGCCAATAATACGGCAAACTGCCAGTGCGATGTCAAAAAGAATTGAGTCCTTCTCGTAAAGGTCCTGGCTGGCTTCCAAATAGGTCACCAGCATTGGGTTAGGAGCCCTCACGACAGCCCGATTTCGCTTGCTTAGGGGTATTCGTGGAAGTCGCGGTCGATTATTAAGCGCGTTTCCAAAATCGCCTCTTCCAATATACTCCTCATTTGCCCTAGTTCGTGGGAGACCATTTTACCATCGTCCAAATCAACCACAACTGGAAGATCCATGGCGCTTTCCACGCGTGGATGCTGGTCTGTCGCCTGAGGAGCCGCATGCCCAGCCGTAGCCAATTGGCCAATTTAGGGAATGACCTCACGTCGTTGTCGTTCGAGCTCAGCATCATCAAATATTTTCGAGCGCATGATGTACCGAACTCGGTCTGCCAGGTTTTGTTCCGTGACAGGAATAGATGGCTCCAGCTCAGCAAAAAAGCAATGCATCCGAGCCGTACGCTATCCCTGCAGTTTCTTCCCCTTTCGCCCTATAGTACGCCTGCAACGCGTTTGCGTTCATATTTTTTGTCAACGCAAACGGCGCACTCCACCAGCGGCGGATGCCGCTTGCCGAGTCTGAGAGGACCCTGCCAACAACAAGCCATCTGGTGGGGATGATGGATGCGGGGGGCTGCTAGGTGATCTTGCAGCTCCTCGCGCTCGGCTGGCGGCCCGCATGCTGCCGCGTCCAGCGCCAGCTCCAGACGCGCCAAGGCGACCCCCAGGTAGCGGCCCTATACGCTTTCTATTAAAATCCATCATCCATGTTTGGGCGCCTATTAACGGGAGACGCCCAGGCCCGGCACCGTTACATTGTATCGTTGTACGGCCGTAAGCAAAAACGGGCCTTTTCACCCTGAGTACTGCCGAGGCACGGCGCTCACACATCTTGGCAAGGCGCTGACTGACTGCACCGACGTAGCAGTTTTGTCACTTAACTGTTACGTCAGCGGGCGATGGGGTCGTCACTTCCCTACGAATTTTTATTATTATTATTATTATTAAAATATCGAATTATTTGTATGAAGGTCAAGTGAGCGCTACAGAAACGACGATTGCAAAACGTTTTTGATAAATAAAATGTTTTGAGAAATTATCCATTACCGTATTGTGCCGGTGTATGGATATTCATATCATCCCGTGGATATCGTAAGAAGCTGCTATACTTGGAGGAAAGTACATACATAAATACTCACAGCTGTCACCTAGAGGGGTAGGCAGAGACTTCCATTCGGCACGATCCTGACACACCTCTCTCGCCTCCTCCACATTCATATACCTACACATACATGCTCGTCAGTTAAGGTTACTCTTATTTCGGCTCATTTTTAATATAACGCCAATTTGGTCGATAAACTTTCGTCTAGCCACTTACCATCTTCAGGTGAACTGTAAGTTCGTTGGATACTTCAGTTTTAGAAGCGTAATTTAGTAACAAAACGAATTCTCATCAAATTTTAGTTGTATAACTCTTATAAATAACATTTAAAAAATATTCGTGATTATATACTCTTTGGTTCTAAGGGCTCCCTTCCAAATAGTACTACACTCTTTGGCAGGGTCTACAAAGATAACATTTGATTCTCCGTACGGATGTATGTGTGTATGTATTGTAATATATGTGTGCATGAAGGCGTTTTATAAGTAATGTTTTTCTTAATAAGTTGCAAGCACTTGCGCAGAAAATGATAATTTAAATGAAAAATGCATGACTGCGAAACTTGAGCGTTCCAACAAAACTTTTAACAATGTAACTAATACTTGTTTAAGGCAGAACTAGGAAGCATGTCGTAAAAAGTTCTGGATGTTGGGTCTTGTTTAGAAAATAAAGTTTATATGTACTGCAGTGCTAAAAACTACTTATAATTAGTTATGTAACCGCAATGATGCAACAAAGTTCAATACCTCATAAGATGTAGTTTTGCAGACATGCCTCGCTTAACTACTAATATTACGATTTTTATTATTTAGTATGATTTTTAAGAAACTGAAAAACAATATCCTAAAACATTTAACTATTCTTAATACTATCTTTCAATAACATAAAACCAGCAGCAAAGATGCAATTCACAAAAAATACACTTTTTATTCATCATCATCATCATCATTACAGCCCTTCACAAGTCCACTGCTCAACATAGGCCTCCCCCAAGTAATGCCACAAAGCACGGTCCTGAGCCACCTGCATCCACCGACTTCCTGCATGTCTTACTAGGTCGTCACTCCATCTAGTGGGGGGGTCGCCCTACACTACGCCTACAGGTACGAGGCTGCCACTCGAGAACCTTTCTTCCCCATCGGTTATCGGTTCTTCGAGCTATATGGCCAGCCCATTGCCACTTCAGCTTACTAATCCGTTAGGCTATGTCGGTCACTCTGGTTTTACTGCGGATATCCTCATTTCTGAGTTTATCACGCAGAGAAACTCCGAGCATAGCCCTCTCCATAGCTCGCTGAGAGACCTTGAGCGTCCTCATACGGCCAGCAGTGAAGGACCACATCTCAGATCCGTAAGTCATCACTGGCAACACACAATGGTTGTACGTTTTCAGAGATTGAGGTATACCTGACGAGAAGATATGTCGTAATTTCCCGAACGCTGCCCAGCTAAGTTGAATCCGTCGATTGACCTGTCGGTCGAAATTGGACTTACCTAGTCGGACTATTTGTCCCAGGTAAAGGTACTCGTCAACAACTTCGAGCATAGTGCTCCCAACAACTACCGGCATAGGTGTGACATGGACATTAAACATGATCTTTGTTTTGTGCATGTTCATCTTAAGACCGATCCATTGGGAGACACCATTGAGGTCATTAAGCATAGTGCTAAGGTCCTCCAGCGATTCTGCCATAAGGACTATATCATCAGCAAATCGAAGGTGAGTGATGTACTCGCCATTGATGTGAATACCGTATCCTTTCCAGTCCAGTAGCTTGATAACGTCTTCCAACGCAGCGGTGAAGAGTTTCGGGGATAAAACGTCACCCTGTCTTACACCTCTCTGCAGTTGGATAGGTTTCGAACTCTGGTTCTGTACTCGGATAGCCATCGTAGCCCTACTGTACAAACACTACAGCACTTCGATATACCGACAGTCAACTTGGCACCGCTGAAGGGACTGTAGCACCGCCCAAATTTCGACGGAATCAAAGGCTTTCTCATAGTCCACATACGGAAGACAAAGTGGCAAATTGTACTCTTCGGTTTTCTGTACAATCTGCCGCAGGGTATGTATGTGGTCTATGGTACTGAAGCCTTTTCGGAAACCGGCTTGTTCGGGAGGCTGGAAGACGTCGAGTCTGCGTGCGAGACGATTCATAATGACTCTCGAAAACAGCACGTAGACGGGGCTCAGAAGGGAAATCGGTCTGTAGTTCTTCAAGAGGGCATTGTCGCCTTTCTTAAAGAACAAGACCATCGCACTTCTGCTCCACGCCTCCGGGGTAGTGCCACCATGGAGGAAGGAATTGAAGAGCTTCTGAAGGACTTCAAGTACCGGTGTTCCACCCGCTTTCGGAGCTTCTCCGCTGTAATTCCATCTTCGCCTGGGGCCCTGCCGTTTTTAAGGTGCTGGAGAGCCATTCTAATCTCGCTCAGACTGACGTCCGGGATATCATCGGAATAGTGTCGGGTAAGACTTGCTCTTGGATCGTTACTCACACTTGCGTGTGGCTCCAACGATGATGTGTACAGCTGCCCATAGAACCTCTCAATCTCACTCAAAATCTCAGGTGTCCCGGAAACGATGCTGCCACGCTCAGTCTTCAGCTTTGACAGTTGGCTATTTCTGGCAGACAGATCTCTGGCAAAGACTTTGGAGCCCTGGTTCCGCTCGATCGCTTCTTTAATATGAGCAGTATTAAAGTTGCGTAAGTCTCGCCGCATGCATTTGGAGATCTGTCTGTTCATTTGCCTGTATGCTGTCAAATCTGTTGACGATTGCAGCCTCATCTCCCGTCTAACAGCCATGAGATTAAGACTTTTTGTTGCATATGCTTAAATTCGATTATGAGTGTCAGGTTATCGTTTGAGCGGTACACAGTTTCGAATATCGCAACCAAGTAAGTCGTTTCGTCGTTTTGTCGTTGAAAACAATCAGAGTCCATTAAAATAGCCAAATCGTAATATTTAATGGATAGTCCTGTAAGTCACCAAAACACACTGATATAATTATGAAAAGCCAGCGATGACAAAGTAACTAACAAGGAGAGAGCACAGGTGTGAGTGGGAGAGAGACTGACTTTCAGTTTATACAAAGGTACTCTGTGAGACTGTCTAATGACAAGTTACCGTTTAGAGACGTCAAAAAAGGTGTGGCAAATACGATACGATTTATCGATATTTCCTAAGATTTACTATGGCGATAGGTTATAAACAATATTACATCTTCTTTTTTTTCATACGATAGTATTAATACCGTAACAAGTAAGTCTTATTATAACCCTATAATTCTCTACTTCTTCTACACTTATAACAATATTAATTGTAACATCTGTTATAATTAATATTGTTACAAGTGTATACAATATACAATATTGCAGATAAGATATCTGTAATATTACATTTTTAATTAAAACATTTATAATTCATGCAGTAATGACGAAGGGTATTTTTTCTATTAATTTTCGTAAACTCGTAAGTGATCGTTTAGTTAGAAGTAAACCACGTACTTTTCTAAACCATCATTAAAAATAACGATCACGATGAAATAATTAGGTTTTGTCCACTTCAGAATTATTCTACCTGTTTAAAATCGAGTATGACATTCATTTGGTTTTTTAAATAATACTTTTAGGAAAGAATAATAAAGGAGTGGTAATTTACTATTTTATTGTTGTTTCTATCTGCACTTTATTTGAAATAAATTCAAAATGTGATTTAGATTGAAAAGAACATGCAACAGTTCATAAAAATCGGTACTTGGGCATCCCTAATTATTTTCAACACCACAACATGGTGTTTGGCGAAGATGGCGGCGATTAATGTTATTAGTCGATTATATTACTTTTTAATGTACATTTTAGCATGTAGCTAGTCCGTGTTATAAAAGTATTTGC